GTAAAACCAGAGTACCACATTTATTGTAGCCGTATTCATGTTAGCTAATATATGGAATCCACCTAAGTGTTTGTCAACAGATTAATGGATAAAGAAAATGTGACATATACACACAATGGAGTACTACTCAAAGAGGAAAATGGGTGGAACTGGAAGACATCATGTTTAGCAAAATAATCCAGACAGGTAAACCCAAGTCTCACCAGTTTCCTCTCATGTGTTGAAAATTAAATTAAATTAATATAAACAAAAGATGACCTGAAAGAAGAAGAGAAATTATAAGGTAAGGGGAAGTGGACCAGGAGAAGGGAAAAGAAAGTGGTAAGAGAAGGTGGAAGGAGTGCTGAACATGATCATGGCATGGTATATGCATGTATAGAAATGTCATAATGAAGCCCTTAAACTGTAGAATTACTATGTGTTAATAATAAAAATGAAAAGTAAAATAAAAGGGAGAGTCGTGGAGAGAGGTGACAGAGAATGGGACAGCAGTGTCTGATATTGGGGTCTCTGATGATCACATGACTGTGGCATATTTTGTGTCTGGGAATGTTTTTGAGTAAAGATGTAGGTAGGTGTAGCCTACTTGCTGTGGTAATGTCCTGTGCTAGAGTCTTATCAGCTTTGACCTTGATCTAAGGCACAAAGCTCTCAGAAATAGAGAAACTTTCTTGTTAGACAACCTTAATGTTTCACCAGCTCAGCTACTCCTGAACCTACCCACCTAACAGTCACTTTGCTATAGGTAGTTGCTTCAGAAAACATTCTGAGTCTGAATTCAAATCAAAGAGAGCTTTATTTAACTGGCCAGGAACTGTTACCCACCCATAGAGCCTGAAGCTCTGTGGGAGAACAGCAACTTCCTGGCCTGTATCCTGGGAACTTAAAGAGGAAAACCACAACTCAGAGGGCTTTCCATAGAGTTATGCAAGTAAGCAAATCACAGAAATTAAAACAATAGTAAGTGGGACCTGAGAGCCCTAAGCAGGACAGTTATTTTCCAGTTAGCAAGCAAGCAAGTACAGAAGGTAGAAACAAGGCAATAATCAGCTTTGCAATTCAGGTGACCACAATCCTGGGTTTAAGCAGGTGCTAGATAGTTGAGTTCAAGCAGGTGATTAGCAGGGACAAGAATCTACTTCAAAGTCTTGGGTCACCAAGGCCATCATGTCCTAGGTTGAGTACATTTTGTAGTGTATAAAGTACAGAAAATGATATATATTATAAGAAAACAGCTTTCATTTCAGTTACTCAGAAACAGCTCTTTTCTGTATTGGAAAAAAAAAACAGTTTTTTTTTATATAGAAGGCAGCAAAATGTAGTCTTAGGTCTGTCTATGAAAGTTCTTGCTTTATAGTTGTCTTATCTCACTTATCATATTTATAATCTATATTTTTTACTAATCTATAACTCATCACTTACACTGTTACTGATTTTACTGATTAGCTTACATCACAATACTTTGAACAATGGACTTTCTTGAGAGCAATGCAAAGCTCCTAACATTACACATTACAACTCCATAAAGCAACTGAGGAAAAGCTACATAATGTTGCTAACCCTATAACTTTCTGAGTACAAAAAATAATGTTTATATTGTCTTTAACCTGGTGATGAGACATATATAAGTAAAGATTGCTGGCATAACTCTTTAGACCTGCTTCTCCATCAAAGAGCCGAGATCTACCTGACCTCAGCTTTATCTTCAAAAACATCTATATGAGTGTGAGTCTTTATTTTTCATTTCCCCCTATGCCCCTTGCCAGAACCTTCTTGATTGGTTTTGCTGGTCACAGCAGAAAATAAGGTGAGAAATGCATAATTCTCCCATCATCAATGCTGTCTTCTCTTACCTACATGTCTATGTATCTTGACTCCTATAGATGAAGACAGTTTTCTTAGAGGGTTGCAAAGACTGGGCTACATAGAAAGTTGCCGATCTTGCTGTAATAAAAACATATTAATAAAACTTACTTTCCTCCTGGTGTAGGATTTCTTTTACGTTTTGATGTTGCCTAATAGAATAAGTAAGACCAAGTGCTTTATGAAAACACTGGTTCTGTTGCTCTGTTTTCAAGTATATTTGCAGGAAACAGAAAATATTTGCATCACCTAGGATGTTCATAGTGGTTCAATGTTTGTTCATCCTTTTCATCAGTATGTAATCATTCCCCACATGATTTCATTGATTTCCTCCACTTAAATCCCTCAGAAATCTCACCTAAGAACTCCCATTCAGATGGAGTTAGCTGAAATGAATATCGTTCCCTCTTTCTAATTACAAGTTACTTCATTTTCATGTGGCTTTTATTAACATGAAAATTAGTCTCTTGAATTCCAACCGAGATCTTAACTCACTTTCTGGATCATAAGAATAAAAATAGTCATCAACCCCTTTCTTCTTATTGTGCTGGGATTTCCTAATACTTTCTTTAACCATGTGGAATGGTCTCATTTGGCAATTCTCTTCCTACCAACATAATGAACATCATGAATCGCATATATGCTCACATTTGGTACTTTAAGTTTTGCAAAAAGTATGTTTTATACTCATTGCTCATTAATTTATCACAATAATGGATTATATCATTATAGTTTTTTTTTCTGAGCATTATTACCAAATATAGTGCAATGGTTTTTCTTCTTACTCGATCCAAATATGTTCTGCACTTATCTTGTCTATGTAGCAAGAATTCTTGGGTTCCCTACAATCTGTGGATTTTAGATAAGTTATCAAAACCTCTGTGTTATGGCTCTTCACTGTAGAACAGAGATTTCAATGGAAACTTTATTAAATAGTGTTTTTATTGAAGATTAATTATGTTTGTAGAACATAAAAACTTGATAAATCTTAGCTTTGGTTATACTCTCTCCTTAGAATTATCTTTCCTTTACTAACCACATTTTTAGAATTAATTATTTTCTTCCCTAATCTCATATAAAGCTTTGCCAAATCTTTGTTAAAGGACTTATCAGAATTTTACCTTCTCATTGCAATTGCTATGTATGTTTTTGCTGCCTTGATAAAATTGTGAGGTCTTGCAGAGTGAGCCTATGGCTTCTTTATATATGATTTACCAGTGATGTTTTCCATTCTTAGTAGTTATTTAATATGTTTTTGTTTCAAATATTCAACGTTTGAGAAGATTGAACAAAAACATACCTCTACAGTATTGTTTAATTTTTAATTCTTTTCCTTTGAGCCACTATTTACATTTGTAATATCAGCAATGATATTTTAAGAATAAAAAAATACTTATACTTTATATTGGTCTTCTCTGCCTTCTGTGCAATAGGTAACTTGTAGATATCTGTTGATTAATCAATTTATGAAAATTTCATTTTAAATCACCCTATCCCTACCCTTTAGAAAACAATTAATATTCTATGTTGAGCTCAATTATCTTTTTTTCTGAAATCTTCACTCACCAGCTCCCAACTACTTTGTTGCTGTATTCTTGGTTCTTCATGAAATTCTGTTTGTAATTTCTTCCATATTTATGTCATAATATTGTAATGCTGTGCAGTAGTATATTCTTGTGCGTTTTCATAAATGTGTACTTTTTAAAGAAATAGTGCCTACACTTTCATTATTACATATTTTATCATCCTACATGGTATAACTGGAAGTTTATTAAGTACATAAATAAGTATGTGTTCAGAATCTTATATTTTCCACACTTATCTAATGAGAATTCATTGTCATCATAATGTTACCAAATAGCACATGGTTATCAAGGTAGTTAAATAGAATTAAGCAGTTCATTAATTCACTACAGGTATAAATAAACAAACTCAGTACCTGAGAAAGACATTTAGTGAGATTGAGAGGCAGTGTACTACATGTGTTTAGGAGGCCAACAAATGAATGGATTGATTTTGTTTGCTTCTTGCCTCCGTGCTACTGAACTTGGGTAGGTTACTAGCTTCTCTCTGTCTTGGTTTCTTTATCTACAAATAGAGATAATTGTCCACAACTCATGTGTTTTGAGGAAGAGCAAATGAGCTAGCACGTGAAAAGCTGAGAGTTATGTCCAACCAACACAGACTAAGTACAGTTTGCTTTCCATAGCATGCTACAAAGACCTTTCAATGCATCAATCATAGTACCCCATTTCCTGTGCATTTCAGAATGAATATTTAACCATGTAGAGCTGTTCACTTGTGTTTTCTATGTTAATGTACATGTATTATTGGAATCAGAGATACCATTTTAATAGATATTGAAGTCTTTGGAAATAAAGGATGAGAATGTGATCCTATGGGTAGAAAATGTGGGTCAGCAAAAGAGCTGGGTTTATAAGACAAAAGCAGTTTCACATAGAACTACTCAGATCTGGGAAGGAATCAAAGCCAGGTGGCAGCTGATGTGGTGTTTGGAATATGATAGCAGACTCAGTTGCAGTTGACTAGTCTCTTCCTCTTAAATAACATCATGCATTTTAATGGCTTCATGCTGAATGTTTAATGGCACATTTTATAAGTTGAAACTGCCATCTTCTCAATTTCATTTTTCATTTGGATGCTGGAAGCTCAAAGCTTCCTTTCATATAATTCCCATGGGAAAGGAGCATCATTGGAAAATACTTGTTTTTGTCTGTTCACATGAATATATACATTAAAATTCAAAGTAGTATTTTCCTTTGCTTCCATATTGGCAAGTTCCACTCCTATAATTTCAGCAACTGAGTTTCATGTAAGTCTTGATACTTTACTTTTCCTAGATCCTAACTTCAAATATTATTCACCCCTCTACTTTTTCTTTCTTTTTTTTTCAAAACACAAACATGTTCACGGTTTAATAAGATTCTTTTGAAAGTTAAAAAAAAAAAAAGAAAAAGGAGTAATTTAGGGACAGGGGACAGCTTCTTGCAGTGCCTGAGGCAGAGCCGGCTTCTCTTCCCTGAAGACCTTTAGCAAATGACAGTTGGCGGCCTCTTTGAGGCTCTTCCTCAGCCTCCCTCCCCAGCCTCCACCCGCCCGGGCTCAGGGCAGCAGGGCTACAGGGCGTCCAGGATGTGGTCGATCTTGGTGACCAGCTCCTGATGCTTCCCTGAGATGAGCTTCTCGTTCTCGATGTAGGTGTCCTTCTTGAGCTTGCCGGCCACCAGCCGCTCGGCCTCCACGGCCGACTTGAGCACCAGCTCCTTCACCTGCGCGTCCAGCTTCTGCATCTCGCTCACCGGGTCGCAGAGGTCGGAGCCCTCGGTCTTCAGGAGGGACTGCAGCAGGGCGATCTCGCTGCTCAGGGCCTTGTGCTCGGTCTCTAGGCCCTTCTTGCCGCTGTTGAGCGTGGACACGTCGCGCGACTGCTTGTACCTGTTGATGGTCTCGTCGAAGTGGCGGTAGAGGCCCAGCCTCTTGTTCACCAGGCTCAGGACCTGCTCCGTGATGCGGGCCACCTTCATCCTGGCCTCCGCAGCAGGGTCCTTGGTGATGGAGAAGTCGAGGCGCACGTAGATGATGATGGTGAAGAAGAGGACGTAGAAGGCGGCCACCACCAGCAAAGGCTCCTGCAGCATCAGCACCTTGTTGAAGGTGTAGTGCACCACGAGGTCCTGGATGTGCTGTTCCACCAGGTTCTTCTTGTGGGCGACGATCACGGGGCGGCCGAAGGTGTCCAGGTAGGTGTAGTGCAGCTCATCCGGGGCCCGGCTGATCTCATAGGGACTGTCCACCTGGATGTTCTTGGCGCCCTCAGGGAGGATAATCTTCACCTGCTCGTCGAACATGTGGTCCGCGAACCTCATCTTGAGAGCGTACTGGTCGCCCAAGTTATAGCCGACGATGCAGTGGGTCTTCCATCCTCCGAAGAGGGGGAAGCGTGGCCGGATCTCCATCTCCACAAGAGTCGTCCAGGATGAGGAGGTGGCTGGTGGACACGTTGCCGATCTCATCCCGTCCAGGGCTGCAGCAGGCAGGATGGTCTTAAAGGCGCGCATGGAGGATGTGCCGCTGTCGGGCTGCCTCTGGTAGCGGGAGAAGGGCCCCTTCAGCCCGGCGCCCGCGTGCTTGAGGTCCACGTTCTCCTCCACGGCGATGTTCCCCCAGTGGGAGACCTCGATGACCCGGGTCATGCTGGTGATGGTCAGGAACGGGTTGTTGTTCTAGTCGTGGACTTTGAAGGGATCCTGACTGTAGGCAGGAATGTTCTGGAAAGGCCCATAGTCCAGCACATCCTCCGAGCGCGTGGGGTTGCCCAGCTTGATGTAGCTCTCCACGTTGCGCAAGGCCAGCTTGACGCGCATGGTCTGGGTCTTGGTGGGGTAGGGGGAGTAGAAATAATGGTTGCCCTCAAACGCCACCAGCTGCTTCTCCGACTGTGTGATCTGCGTCGGGTAGGGCTGAAGCACCTGGGTGTACACGGTCTCCACCACGAGGGACATCTTGGCCCCCGGGTCAAGGGCGACGGGGAGCTTGACCAGGAAGAATCTCCCGCTTTTGCCCTTAATTTTGTTTTCCCGGACTTCTAGATTGTTCTCTTCCTCCTCTTCTCCCTTTACCTGCATGCCCAGGTGTGCCAGCCGGGCCTCCAGTTCCGGCTCCAGGGCCAGGACGAAAGAGGTGACCCGCGACGAGGAGCCGCCCGCGTGCGCCAGGACCAGCTCGGCAGTCACTTTGGCCAGGTGGCTGCTCAGGTCCACCGTGCGCAGCACTTCCTCGTTCACCAGCGGCTGGGCCTCCTGGGAGGCGCCGCCCAGAGCTGGGGCCCAGGCCCCGAGCCACAGGAGCAGAAGCAGGCAGGTGGCGGGCGCCTCCATGACCCGGACGGAGCTGAGCGCCAGGGCACCGCCACCGCGCCCCGCCTCCCTCTACTTTTTCATTCTTAAGAATTCTACTATATTTTATAGGATTTTTTTCTTTTATTGCCTTTTCTCACAAGTAACATGATAAAATATAGGTTAAAGAGAAGCATATTTTTCTTGTAATTTTGGGGGATCTAGATTGAACATTTTTAGCAAAAAATATAAATTCTAATGTTAATTTATAGTCTGATTTTGAATTCGTTTTGCTAAATTTATGGGATTATTTTACATTTCTTTAAAAATTTATATGTAAAAGAACAATGGAGAAATATTTTTACAAAACATTTTTATGTTGCTCAAGCATAAACTATTACGAAGAGAACTTACATAACAACCATGCAATTTCACATTTAAACTGTTAAGTAAGGAGTTGCAACTAGAGGTCTAGTGGCATTACAGATGGTTTCTTAAATTCCTTATAAATTGTCACTATAATTTTTAACATCTTTAGCTCAAGATGAAGACAGTTGATAATGAAAAAATATGTTATCTCACATTTTGAAACATGTAAGGATATACCCAGAGCTTAGGAAAATTAAAAGAAGAAATATAAATTTTATCATTGTTGTCCAATCATATGCATGTATATGTGTATATATGTGTCTGGTGCATGTGTGCATGTGTGTGTGTGTTTAGTATTTTTTAGCCTAAACGTTTCAAGAGACTACTGCCTTTCATTTGCTTCTTGGTTTCCCGTGCTTTAGAAAAAAATGTTCTTTGTCCTTTGATAATTTCAGTCCTTGTCAATCCCAAATTGACTTAAGTGTCAGTCTCACATGGATGACTCCACTAACTAAACTAGTAGATATCAATGGCTGAACATGACTCAAATAAAAGATGAGATGCATTTGAGAAGTGAGTTTACCTTTATTATATTAAAAAAATAGAGAACTGTTCTTTTTGTGCTAAAATGGATACAAGTTGTTTAAAGTATTCTGATGATTTTATGATACTGCAAACATGCTGAATAAAGTAAAATAATGGAAATAAAACTCGAAAGCAAAACTAGAAAAATGGGATTGTATCAGATTATTAAACTTCTGAAAAGCAGGGGAAATAATCAACAGTATTAACTGAAAACCTACAGAATGGGAGAAAATACTTGGAAACTATATATTTAATAATGGCTTGATATCCAGAATATATTAGTAACTCCAAAAATTTAACAGCTGAAAACAAATAACTGATTCCAAAAATCAGCAATTGATTTAAAACAATTTCTCAAAAGAAGATGTACAAAAGGTCAATAGGTGTATAAAATATGTTCAACATGGCTAATTTTCAAGGAAATGCAAATCAAAAGCACAATGAGATACCATTTCACCACAGTAAGAATGTTCAATATGGAAAGGAATAAATGTAGCAAATGCTGACAAGGATCTGAAGAAAAGGGCACCCTTGCATACTATTGGTAGGAGTGTAAATTAGTATAGTCATGTGTGTGTGTGTTTGAAAACATTATGGACATTCCTCAAAAATCCAAAAATAGAACTACCATGTGATCAACCAATCCCATTCCTAAGTTTATATCCAAAGAAAATAAAGTGAAATCATTATGTTGAAGGGACATTTGCACTTCTGTGTTCATTGAAGCACTATTTATGGTAGCCAAAAAACAGAACCCATAAAAGTTGGTACTCATAGAAGGTGAGAGTAGGAATGGCAGTTACAAGAGGGTGGGAAGACTAAGGAGGAACAAAGGATGTGATAAAGTTGATTAATGGACACTAAGTTACATTGAAATAATAAATTCTGGTGTGCGTTGCACAGTAAGGTTATTATAAATAATAATAATAAATTATAGATTCAAAAAGCTAGAATGAAGAATTTTGGTAGTTTGCACTGTAAAGAAATTATAGATGTTTTAGGAGATATATTTACTCTAATTGAACATCAAATGATGTATACATGTATTGAATCATCACTTGGTGTCCCATAAATATGTATAATTATTATGCATCAGTTAAAATTTAAAAAATATTAACAATAAAAATGAATAATTAGTGGATGAATGAATAGAATTTAACTGGTCTATTTCACAGGCTGAACTTGCTTTCACAGGAAGCAAATAAAAATATTAACTTCTTATTTAATTACTACTGCTACAACTTCCCTAAAGGAAATTCCTTGGTTATTTGGCATCCACTGGTAGCTTTTTTTTTTTTTTTTTGGACCACACATTTGAGTGCTTTAGAAGTCCTCAGGCATGTTCTGTTGGAACATGGAAGCCTCCTTGCCTGGGGTCTTCAATGCTATTCATGAGTCCTCTTGGCAAAGCCCTGGAAAGCCTGCCTTAAGCATCTCTTATAGTATCCTGTTGACAGAAAGTCACATATACTTACTGAATTGTAAGAAGACAGAACAGGCTACCTTACCACAGTCACTTCTTTAGGTCTAAACACTTTACATCTTTTAATCAATTTCGTCTCATTTAAATGGAAGAGAAGGTAAAATACCAATGTCTAATTACAAAACAAGATGAATGGTGCTCGATTCTACTTCTAGCAAGTAACTCCATGTTACAATCAGCTTTTTAGCTGCTGTGACCAAAAGACCTGACAAGAACAATTTTAGAGCTCAAAAACATTGACGCTCATGTTTTCAGAAGTCTCAGTCCATAGATGGTTAATTCCATTTCTCTTGCCAGAGGTGAGGAAGTACATTATGCCAGAAGAATTTGGAAAAGGAAGTAGCTAAGAATATGGCACCAGGAAACAGAGAGACTTTCCTCTCATCATGGACAAAATATATGGCACAACGTCATGCCCCAACGACCACTTCCTACAGTCACACTTTACCTGCCTGCAGTTAGCACCCAGTTAATTCCTATCAGGGAACTAATGCACTGATTAAATTAAAGCTCTCATAACCCAATCATGTCACTGCTAAACTTTCTTGCATTGTCTTATGTATGAACTTTTGGGGGGCATCTAATATTTAAAAACACCACCCCAATTATTTTAAGTGCTTTCTGTGAATATCTCCATCCCTAAGGTTTTCCTTCATTTCTTGACTTCACTCCTTCTGAAGTCCTTCCCCAACCATTTTATCTTTTTTACAGATCTCTAAAAGAAGGGAAAATTCTTACTCAGGGCTCAATGTCCTTCTTAAACTCTTTACATTTCCCAGGTGTCCCTGTGTAGCTATGGGGTATAGGTGTTGCTATCTGCACAGTATATTTGGTCACCTCTTAGCAAACCCTGCAGCAAATGTCTCCATCTTTCTTTCTTCCTCTTTCAAATATGGGATGTACTTAGTACCTGTTGTTTTTACCTTAGGGGACTATAGCTGAAATACTGAGATATCATAAAATCTCAAAATCTGGTTGCTACTAATACTGAAGATATTTCAGTTAAGAATGCATATTAGGGTGAGGGTATCCCTGACTGTGACTTAGCATGCATATAATAATAGTTATAATGAAAATGACCACAGCTAATATTTCCATAAGTATTCTTATTTTCTAGGAACTGATTGAAGTTCTAATTTATTTAATCTCTATAGTAACTCTATGAGGAACTACTATTAAGTTTATTTTACAATTGAAGAAACTAAGAGAAATTGAGTTACTTCCTTAATATCTCTAAGAAGCAGTGGAATCAGTCTTTAAATCTAGAAGGGTTTTTCCCAATGACTCTTAATATCTTTTATCAAGTAAAATGTAATTAAAATAATGATACCTTTAAACTTATCAAGACATTCAGTTTTAAATGAAGTAATCTAGATAACTAAGTATTGAGAAAAATGTAAGCATTTTCAACTACATACTTTGGCATAAAGTATTTAGATATTGGCTAGTGTTTGTGAAACTTTACATAACATGATCTTATAAAATTGAGCCTTATAAATGAAGAAAAATTAAAAATGCTGCATTTTAAGCAAATTTAAGTAAATAGTCATTGACTAGATTGATTTAGGTATGAGATTTGAAAAATAAAAAAGAATAAATGTATACATTTTATCCTCTAAAGACATTTGGCATCTGCATTTTACTTAACTATTTTTCTTCACTTTGCTGATACATTGTATCTTCTTTCCATTTAGTTACTGAAAACTCCTCATTTTTACCTCCAGTATATTTTTAAGTGGCAGATCATTACACAAAAATGTTTTGCTGTATTCTATAATTTTATTTCTTTCTCCACAACATTTTTATCTGTTTATAGAGTGTATGCACCATAAGTCACTGTGATAGCAAAATGAGGGTTAATAAGTGGGTAGTCATTTGAAATAAATATTTCATTGAAAACCAATATTCTGAATTAATAAAACAAAGAGTATTATCTATTGCCCACAAATCCTCAAAGAAACACACACACATATTGAAAACAAACAGATAATCTTTAAAATATATATTACCTTTCAATACCCCATTCTATTAAAAATATAATTTCTTGTATAACATTAAGAAAACATAAGCTACAGAGAAAGCAAATTGTATTAAAGTATTGCCCATGATAGAGATAATAATTTTAGGCTTATGTTTTTAAAGCCTTGAGCAGGTACATGTAATGTTCTTTTCCTAGGTGGTAAAATTCATCCCCAAGGAATGTTTACTAGCATAAATGTCAATATTTCATGCTTCATTTATTGGAAGTCTAACTATTTGAGTGACTTTGCAATGGCTTACTACAGTTAAAGATTCTTATTATAAACAAGAAAAGAATATATCGAGAGGAAAGGAGAAATAACATTAATTTGCAGTTTTCTTTTATACATTGATTTTTTTGAAAATCTGAGGATTGACATGCTATCATAATTCTGGCTGTCTATTGCTGTGTAACACAGTACCCTCAAGTCATGTGGCTAAAGACAACCATTTCATTTTGTTAGTCATCTTATGGTTCACAAATTTAAGAAAGACCCAACTGAGTGCTTAGTCTCTACTGGAAGTAGGTTCAACTGGAATGTCTGGGATTAGAGAATCTACATCCAAGTCTGTCTCTTGAATGGTCTTTGGTCTTTTTCTTTCATTTTTTCACCAGATAAATCACCCTC